ATAAAAATAAAAATAAAATAAAAATTGTTGTTTCCTTAGACAATAAAGTGGGTGTATTGGCTGCCTGATCTTTAAGGTTCCAGGGCAAAAGTCTGGTCATCACAGAGAGGTGATGTATTAGTTATTTATTGCAGTTTCTGAGGATCAAGAATCTAGCAACAGCATAACTGGTGGGTTTTGCTCAGTGTCTCTCATGAAGGTGATTCACCTTTTAAGGGAGGAATGACAAAAAAATTAGGCATTTTAATGCCACTACAGTTGGTTGTATACTCTAGTCCTGGGGGACTGGAGGCTTGGGATGAGTGGAGTCCACATCCAAGGGGCTTCTTCCCTGTCTCTTTTGACTGAATCACCCTGTGACTTGGCCCAGAAACACCTTCCAGAAGTCTGTATAACAGATTTCTTCCTCTTCCCCAGCCCCTATAAACGGAAGAGCCCGCCAAGTACTCCATTTATCTCCTAAATCATTTCCACCACCATCTTTGGCCTGCATCTCTGCAACTGATTTCTTCTTCATATGTGCATCTAGTTTCATTCTCTCTTTTCCAAACCACTCTGATTCTGGAATGATCTAAAATAAAAACTAAGCATGTCACCTTCCTGCCCGAAACTGTTCTACTTCTTTGATGATAAAGTCCAGGATCTTTATCTTTAAGTCCAGCCAACACATGCCCTACAAATCTTGCATAGGCAACTATTTGCAGACCTTGTTTCATTCTGCCTTCACTGGTCGTACAACTAACCTCAACTCACCTCTCCCGGTACCTCTCACTGTCCTCTACATGTCCAAGGCTGTGCCAGCAACCAGTCTTTCTGATGTTCTCATGATCACCATGGCTACTTCCCAACCCTTGATACACGTTAGTCTCTACTAAAATAACCTTTCCTGGGCCTCCTTCCCTGTTTTCTTCAGGAAATGTTCTTAAATTTTCATACATGCAAATATAAATATATACAGTTGATTTTCATTACAAGGGATTGAATCCAGAGCCTTGCACATACTAGGCAAGTGTTCTACCAGCGAGCTATATCTCCAGCCCTTTTTACTTTGAGATAGGATCTCATTAGGTTGCCTAGGCTGGCCTTGCGCTTGCAATCCTCCTACTTAGCTAAATAATGCACCATAAGCCCAGCTCATAGTTCATTCTTGATTTTTCAGCAGTTATATTCTACAAAGTCACTGAAAATGCTGAATTAATGAATAATAAACTATTGCTACCAGGTGTAGTGGCACCTTCCTGTAATTCCAGCACTTGGGAGACTGAGACAGGAGGATTGTTGTGAGTTCAAGACCAGCCTGGGTTACAAAGTGAGCTCAAGGTTAGCTTGAATGGCATAGTGAAACCTTGTCTTAAAAAGACAAAAGATAAGGGCCGGAGGTCAGCTCAGCAGACTAAGTGCTTGCTTAGGTAAGCACAGGGGCCAGGGTTCAATCCTTGGTACTGCATGCT